TTCTAGGAAGTGGATAATGATGTACCATTAGAAATCATCAGAGATATTTAGGTCAAGGACAATTAAGTGAGAATTCTGATCCAGCCAGTCAGCATTTGCAAGTACATTTTGGTTTTCTGTATTGATTTTCCATTAAAATTAAAATTCTTCTTTGAATTAAAAGGTTACATGTTTTAAATTTTAATATTAAATTGTAACTAGTCCTTTCAAAGGAAAAAAGTAATAACATTAAAAACTATTTGGTTCATCAACATGTAATTTTAGCCTTTAAAACAAGAATTTTTTAATGGCTGGTTCTGTAGTCTAGTGATTAAAAGAAAGCAGATTCCACGTGGCAGGCCATAGTTCAAGTCCTTGCCCTGGCAGCTTAAAAAAACATATGGGGCGTGTGTGTGTGTGTGTGTGTGTGTGTGTGTGTGTGTGTGTGAGAGAGAGAGAGAGAGAGATGTGCCCCAAATCTCAGCAGAATGGAAGTGGAGGAAAAGGAATTGTGGCTTAACTATGCCTCCTGGGGGGAGGGTGCTTTTAAAAATAATTTTTAAAACTTTTTTATTCATCCTATTATACTACATAAGATATGTAAAAGGCATTGTTTAGTAAAGATTTATATGCATATTTCTTAATTGCTTTACTTTGGAACAGGAGACAAAGGAACTATAGGTGTTTTGTTTTTTTTAGGTAGTAGAGCTGCTCGTTTATGCTTGGAGTAGATCTCTCATTTTGATAGTAGCTATATTGGATTACCATAATTGATAGCATACTTTTTGCTTATACAAGCTTATAAAAATATGCCAGAGTCCAAAAATGCCGTATACTTGGTGGAGGACCCACCTAAGAATAGAAGCCCAGTGAACATTCCCTGAATGAATGAGAGTTGAGTTGACATTTTTGTAATTTTGCTATAGTGGCATGTGCATTCACTCACTGGAGAAACTAGAGTGAGAGAGAAAGTGAGAAAGCACCTTCAGGGGGATGGCCGCACTGCAGTTTCTTTTCTTCCATTCTTAGGATTTTGAGCAGACGTGCACAAATGCCTGTGTATTTTTCAAGCCATCGGATCTGGGACTCTAACTGCACAGTTGGTCATGTAGGATCCACCACGCCACTGACTGGCTTGTGATGACTACTTTTAAGAAACAGAACTCAGTTGTTGCCAAATTGAAAACTACTCAGGAAGAAAATAATGTCCTCAAAACTTGGGATAAGGAGCAAAAAGGAAAATTTAAATGATGTCAGAAATTCTTGACAGTTTTCCTATGGTGATAAGTAAAAGGTGTTTCTATTTTCCTGCCTAAGAGTATTGAGAAATTTACCTACCAAGAGTTAAGCACATTTTAGTAAGTGTAAAGCTCATGTGATAGGCATAATCTTTCTGGGAGCACCATTTGTCTTTAGCTTTAGTATTTTAGATCTGTTTTTTCCATTAAATCTGAGAAACATCAAGTTTTATGACCTCTTGGTAATGACTTGACAAGTGAACAATACTACCTATTCATGACTAGTCTAAACAAGGGAAGTTTGTGTTTTTGCTGTGGTGATTTGTTTAATACGTCAAATAATTTTAGCTAGCTGCATGGTTAAAAAGTAGTTGAAATTTTCTTTAGTTTTTTTTTTTTTTTTATTCATTCATTTATTTTAATTTGAGCAGAGAGAGACACAAAGAGAGAGGGAGAGTGAGAGAGTGGGAAAGTGAGGAAACAAGCCATCAGGTCTGGGACTCGAACTGTGGTTGGCCATGTCAAAGTGTCCAGTGCCTTAACCACCATGCCACCTGCTGGTCCTAAGTAGTTGATATTTTTTTAGCCAGTAATTACAGAAGTAAAATAACCTGTATTACATATGATCATCTACCCAGAAGGTAATTCTGCCTTAAAGAATGTGTGTAAGAAATAGGGAATGTATTTGTATAGATCTATAAATACTGATATGTATTGTATATTTGTTGGCTTTATGTGACAGTTATTCTAAAAATAGCCCAAAATTATTGACTTAGTATGGCTCCCCTATTTCTTTTTCCTGAGCGCTAGAGGAATGATTCTTCTATTGAACAAATCATATAAACATTTTCTCTTACCATGTTCTTATCTCTGTGATAGCTCCTGGGGATGCACAGATGACGTGCTTCTTGCACATTTTAGCTAACAAATAAAATGAATTTTAAGATACTTTTAAAAGCTTCATTGCATAGTTTTGCATTAATGTTCAAAATACTAAAATGCTGTTAAAAATTACTAGAAGTATGTGTACCTGCCACTATGCAGGAATATTTGATCTTGCTTGGAAGGAGTCAGACCTGTTTTGGTTGTGATTTCTTGCTAATTATGATTCTAGTTTTGTGGTGGTCTCTATGTATCCCTAATTCATGTTACTCAGATTTTCAGAAGACATTACACTCAATTTTCATGGTCAGTTTAAATTCTTTTATCCAATGTAGTGTCATTCAAAAATAACCAGTTTTTTCTCAGTATCTCTTGAGTAGTTGTTCCTTGGAAATGCTACTTGCTGGAGATTTTTGTGCAGGAAAGTAAGGGAGTGTCTAGAGGACATGTATGCTCCTACGAAAGTCTACGAGACAGAAACAGCTTTTTGCTTCAGTGATAGCAGCTTTTTATTATTGTTCATTTTCAAAATGATGCCATTTGTATTGAGTATAATATGTATAATTTCATTATGAAAGAGCTTACAAGGGCCTAGTGATTAAGCCTAGTGATCAAGGGAACCAGATCCCATAGGGTTGACTGCAGTTCTAATCCTGGCCCTGGAGACTTGAAAAACATGGGGCACATGTGTATGTGTGTCCAAGATCCTGATAGATGGAGGAATGAGGGAAGAGGCTTGAAGCATGACCATGCCCATTGAAGGGGATGTTTTCTCCTTCTATCTATTGCCTGAGCATATATGCCCTCTGGCAATAACAAAAAAGAGTGTATAAGGTAATTAGCTAAGTAGGAAATAGCAATGAGTTTTTACTGGCACATTAATAGAAAAGAAACAATTTTTGAAATCTTTTTCATGTCCTGAGAATAGGAACGTGAACGTGTATCTTGTGATTTATTATTCTATTGAAATATTTTGTTTATGTGTTTCATATTTTGAAAGCTCTGAACAGGACAAACATTTTTAGGTCTTTTGACAAAGCTGTGCCACAATTATTAATATATACACATACCAAATATGTATGTAAATTATTGGAGCTTTAAGGAAACATTAATTTTCTTAAAGAGAAGTTTTATACTTATATTTAAAGGTCCTTTTATTCTAATTGATATATCAGTTATTACTGAACATGAGCTACTTGGAAATTCAAAGTATGTGTATAACATAATTAACAAGTACTTCCGGGAAAGAGCATAGATATCTGATTTTAAAAGAAAAATTCACCCTGCCTCACTTTTCTCCACTTAAAAATTGACTAGTCTTTCAACAGGCACTTTTTGCTTTTGCGAGGAAGGGTAGGGATTGTCTAGTTGGATACCTGTCAAAGTGTCTGCAACTCCAAAGCTTATGTTTTCTGTTCCAGTAGTTATTTGTGTCTTCAGCATTATGAAAACTTAATTATTTTGTATATCTTGCACTTTCAGAAAGTTCTCTTAACAGTTGATAAAATCTAATTGCATGTTGATATTTAAGAAAAGATTCTTAAGAGTTTCTGTATTTTAATATACCCTGTCATCTAGGGCCGAAGTAATAGTTCATTGGGTGGCTTTGACATGTACTAGTGATATTTTAGTAATATATAGTTTTGGGGAAGTATGTCTGATATATTTTTTAAACTTTATTACGAAAACTTTAAACATTCACAAAGTAGAATCATATGATGAACCCCTTACATATTCTTTTCCTGTCTTCACTAGTTTAATATTATGGTCAATATTGTTTTATTTTCACACTTCTCCCATTTCTTCTGTCCTCCTTACTCCAATGATCTGGAAGGAAATTCCAGACCTCATGTTATTTCATTGATAAATATATCAATGTGTATCTCTGAAAAAGGATGAAAGTTATTTGTATTCCCTGTGAGTACCAACTAGCTTTGTTGTGGAGAGGAAGTTCAAGAGTGCTTGGAAACAGGCCCATTGTTGCTTTTTATTGTAGTTAATTTGCATTTTGAAAGATCAAGAGTTTATACTGCTTGGGTATTTGATTATTACAGTAAATCTCAAAGGATTTGAAATGTTGATTCTGTAAATAACATCTATGAAAATATTATAAGTTAGCATTATGTATATGCATGAAGTTATGCAACAGTCCACAGTTCAGAGCTAACCAACAATTTGCTTTGCCATTTGTTCATGCCCTCTAGCCCCAAGTAATTTGTTTCATTATTTAAATGCTGAGAAATAGGTAGTATATAACACTTAAGTTCAAGGATATTTTGTAAGCTTCTGTATGTGTTATAAAAAGAAAGAGAAAGGTGAGAGAGACAGGAAGGAAAAGAGGAGAGAGAGGAAAAGGAAAAATGAAAGGAAAGAAAGGAAGGTATGTAGGCAGAATTGAGAAAAGAGACAGGGCGGACGGAGCAGGGTGAACATGATAGATTGAGAGACTGTCTACTTGCTTTCGCCCTCTTACCTTGCCTCCTATCTTGGTCTAAACTTTGCTTTTGACATTAAGATCAGGAAGATTGCTGACTAGGGGTTATAAAATAAAGCTTAAAAAACAAAATATTTTAGGACTCATTTTTTTTTTAAAGAATTGTTTATTTTTTAATTTTATTTATTCATTTACTTATTTTATTTTGACCAGAGAGAGAGAGAAAGAAAGTGAGAAAGCCAGCCATCAGGTCCAGGACTTGAACCATGGTCAGCCATGTGGGTCGAACCTTCGCATACTCCAAATGAATTACACAGTGTATGAAAAATATTAAGGTTTTATAGACCTTTGGGTTTATTTGAAATGCTTTCACTGGAAAATTGTGTAATAATTTTTCCTTTTTCCGTGTGTTCTCTTTTGCTGTTCATTACTGGATGAAATGGATTCTATTTGCTTTGACTCTGCAGTTCACAAGATTCCTTTGCAGTTCACCCTTGGAGGTAAGTGTTTACTCACTGATCTTAATACTAGAATTTCTTTTTTTTCTTTTTTTTTTTTTTGAGAGGTTTTCGCTATAGGGCGCGTGCGCTCGCCAGACAGACAGAGAGAGGCATAGAGACAGAAAGCGAGAAATCACCCCCCAGGGGGGATGGTCACGCCGCAATCCCTTCTCCTCCATTCTCCTCTCGGGATCTTGGGCACGCACGCACACGCGCCCGGCGTGAGATTTAAGCCACCGGGTCCGAGACGCAAACCGCGGTCGACTACGTGGGAGTCCAGCGACATAGCCATTACGCTAACTGCTGGTTCCCAATACTAGAATTTCTAATTGAGGATCATTATTGGTATCTGTTGTTAGGCATTTATTTGATAATTTAGGAGGGATCATTTTGGTTGACATACGTATTCTTCAATAACAAGGAGATAAATACTGACTTTTTGGGATAAGAAATCCTAGAAGTTACACCTATTCACTGTTGTAGCAGGTCATTGCTTCTTTTTAAGTACATTTTCTTTTTCAGTAAGAAGAGTGACATCAGTCCTTCATTTTTTAAGAGATTTTCGCCTTAGGATGAATGTACTCTACAGAGAGAGAGACAGACAGACAGACAGACAGAGATAGTGAGAGATAAAGTGAGAAATCATCACCCCTATGAGGGATGGCCACACTGCAGTCCCCTCTCCTGGGATCTTAGGCACGCATGCACATGGACCTGCGTGCTTTTCAAGCCACTGGGTCTGGGACTCGAACCACAGTCACCCATGTGGGAGTCCAGCGATGTAACTGCTACACCATCTGCTGACTCCAGTCCTTCATTTTAAAGAGTTTTGTTGGGCTTCATAACTATTTATATCAGTCTTACTCTCATCGAGAAAACTTTAGTGATTTTGAAAGACCATTTTACAATCCATGAATTGATAAGAGAAGAGCAAAGGATTTAACTTATTGAGCTTCTGTTGTAACATAGACACTTCATTCATTTTTTCATTTAGTCCTCATAGTTCTCAGTGTAGAATGAGAATCCAGTGATAAATTTGTGAGATAAGGAAAGCTATTAGATATTTAGTTAACTAGATTACATTGTGAACTGTGGTTGCTGAGAAATTTGTAGATGATTGTCAAGTCTTACTTATCTTAGTAAAAGTAGTAAAGGGAGGAAACTGTGTGTTAAGAGATGATTGGACTTGGGGCCTGCTGGCTCCAAGTGGTGGTTTAGATGCTGGATTTTCACATGACTGACTGAGGTTTGAGTACCAGTCTTGGTAGCTTGCAAATCATGCTGGGCTTGTGTGTGTGTATGCCCAAAATCCTGGGAGGAGAGTGGAGGAGAAGTGATTGCTGTGTGGTCATCCCCCTTGGGGGGTGATTTCTCACGTTCCATCTCACTGTCTTTCTCTGTCGCTCTCTAGACAGCGCATGTGATGACAAAAATCTAAAAAGAGAGAGAGATAGAGGGAGATGATTGAATTTAGAACCAAACCTGAATTTAATAGCACATCTTTACTTATTAACCACTGCTGACACTGGACAAATCACAACTTCCCTGAACCGCAGTGTGTTTTGTTTTGTTCTGTTTTTTAATCTTTAAAAGACAGTTTCCTCTACCTTTTGGATGAAGCAGTGGAGATGGGAGCAGTTACAGACTGCGCTATTTAGTAATATTTTGTAGCCCCACAGGAGCGATCCTCTTCCTTATCTTTCACTTGTCCTTCCCTTTGCATCTGTTGTTTATTTCACCTTATGCTCCCTTTTCCCATTTCCAACTTGTTTATGTCACCTTTCTCTTCAGGGTTGAGCCTTGCCTCTGTGAGACCCTCTCTGACCTCTCTACGTAGACGCAGTTCATTCCTTTTCTGCTTCTATAACATTGTGTTCATTTGATTATTAAAATAATTATTTTGATTTGGTATAGCCCATTTATCACATCGAACATGTCATAAACCGTGTAATAGCCATGTGATAGAATACCCTATAGCCATTCAAATGGAGATTATGAATATATGTTCATGAATATATATATTGAATAATAAGTATAAAATGCTTTTGGTATATTAAAAGATAAAAGGATGCAAAATTAGCTATGCAGATCTCAATTTAAAAACAATTTAAACACACAAAGATGGGTTAGGAAGGAGATAATATAAAATGTTAATGTGAGATACAAATTTTTCAATCATTTTATCTTTTACTCTTTCAATGAAGGACCAACCCACAATAGATAGAAATACATTGATAATTTTTGGTATTGGTTCTTGTAATCAGTGTTTGACAGATGTACATCAGGGGAGCTAAGCCTCTTTGGTTTGATGTATAACCAGGGACTAGACTTGAAAAAAAGGAACTACCAGACACTTAGATGAAGAGATAATATTAATAATAATGTTTAAGGTAGGACTCTCATTTCATCAATTGCTTAAAAGAGTGACCAGGAGTAAGGGTTTTTAGCAGAAGGCAGTTAGGTTGGTCGGCTTCCCTGCTCAGTGAGTAGATGAAGGAGCTGGAGTTTGATGTCTACTTCACTTGGATTAGAAGCAGTTCGAAGATATTACTAACCAATAACAAAGATGCTTCTCAGCAGGCCTCATCAGTAGACGTCTTTAAAATGTAAACTCATTGAGAAAGGACCCTGTTTTTCTTTCTTCTTTGTGTTTCTGTTGTTAGTATAATGTGTAGTATGTAGCAGGAACAAGCATTAATAAATATTTTTTGAATGAATGAATGACCAGACAAATTATTGGGCTTGATGGGACTGAGGCTGAAAGTAATTGTCTTTGTTAGTAATGTGGCAAGACTCAGCTAAAAGCAGACAAGGTGGGACCAGCAGATGGTGTAGTGGTTACGCCACTGGACTCTCATGTGGTCTACCAACAGCTTAAAATTCATGCACAGCACGTGTGCGTGCATGCCCAAGATCCTGAGAGGAGAATGGAGGACAAAGGATTGCGGCGTGGCTATTCCCCCTGGGGGGTGATTTCCTGCTTTCTGTCTCTCTAGCAAGCACATACACCCTATAACAAAAATCGCTTATTAAAAAAAAAAGCAGGCAAGGTTTAATATTTATATTTTAATGTGGTTAGCAGCCTGTTTTCCCAGCTGTAATAGATTGTAACTACTTGAGATTGGGATCTTTCTCTTTTATCTTTGAATGCTTTCAGTTATAGAGTATACCATTGGAGTGAGTATACCAGCTTCACTCATAGTGTACCAAGTAATTACATATTTTAAAATTACATCTTCTTATTATAGTATATCAAATAATTACATATTTTTAAATTTTATCTTATTAAAATTGTGAGTGTATGTGGGGAAGCTTTAGTCCTTGGTGAAAAGCAGAAGGGAAAGTAGTATGATCAAAGTCTAGAGATAGGGCTGGTCATATTGCACAGTGGTTAAGTCCTATGCATAGGGAGGGAGTCAGATCTCACATGATGGACAGCAGTTCAAATCCCATCCCTGATGGCTTGAAAAAAATGCACTGGGCACTTGTACATCCATACCTGAAATCCTGACATGGAGAAATGGAGGAAAAGGATTGTGGCATGACCACACCCCACTGGGGTGTGATTTCTCTCTCTCTCTCTTTCTCTTTGGCAAGCACACTTATCCTCTGACAGGAAAAAAGAAAAAAACATCTATTGATAGTTTCTATTATTTTCTGACTTTCTCCACTTACTCTGCAGTAATATTTTAATTGGCTAAAATAATCTTTTTTATTAGAGGAGTTATGGACATGGGGGAAGAAGAGCAATCAAAATCAAGATGAATAATACACTTCATTTTATCAATGTGAAATACTTTGAGGGCTTTCTGTTGATTTTTTTTTGGAGATGTTTTCGCTATAGGGCATGTGTGCTCGCCAGACAGAGACAGAGAGACAGAAAGCGAGAAATCACCCCCCAGGGGGGATGGCCATGCCGCAATCCCTTCTCCTCCGTTCTCCTCTCAGGATCTTGGGCACGCACGCACGCACGCACGCACGCACACACACACGCCCGGCGTGAGTTTTAAGCCACCGGGTCTGGGACGTGAACTGCGGTCAACTACGTGGGAGTCCAGCGACATAGCTATTACGCTAACTGCTGGTCCCTCTGTTGACATTTTTGTAGCCTGGAATTCCATGGGGGATTATCTAAGCCCCAAATCTCCAGCAGCACTTAGCTCAGAATTTCGCCACCACACCACAACCTGAGAGCCAGAGTAGAGCCAAGGCTGGAGGCTGTTGGGAGTCTCTGTATTAAATTTGCCATTACATACATGTTTTAGTTGGAGAAGGAAAATTAAAAATATGGTCAATACCCAGCACTTTCCCTAATTTTGAATAAAAGAAAATTCTGGTAGAGACAATAAAATGCATGAGCCTTGCAATTGAAAATAAAGCAGACTTTATAAACTTCACTTTTTCCACCAAACTACTTCACATGAACCATGTCCTTTTGTTGTAAGTCCTGAACAGTTAACTGTCACATGAATCTAGTGAAATTGTCAGGTTATAGTAATTACATCAGTAAGTTGATACGTTGTCATTTGAATGGACCTCGTGTGGAAAGTCCGTTACTTCCCTCTGTGAGGCTGACCCTTTTACATTCCTGTAAGCTGGGGACTAATCGAGCTCATTAAGCTTTATGGGGAAAGAGCTTTTATCACCTCATCAAGTCAGGCAACATAGTTCCATTATATTCCTAATTTCATGTGGCTGTGTAGCTGCTGATGTGCACTCTCCTGCTAAGTTTACATCGGCCCTTTGCCTTACAGACATTTTTATTGACATTTCTAAGTCAGAATTACATTTTGCTTGGCACCACTTACAGATGTCTCCAATTATATCTACGTAAATAAAAAGGATTATGTATCAGAGGCCAAGAGATTCTTGAAATTCTCTTCTGAGTAAGACTTTGCCAGCCAGTCCAGTAGGATGCAGTCTCTGTCATGTTTGGAGGAAGAGAGCTACAGGAGAAGCACTGTGACAGAAGTTAAGCTGTGTGTGAATGTTGGCCACTT